ACTAAATGATTATCAACTATATTACATTGTCAAAAAGGCAAAACGATTGAAGAGTAAGAAACCAGCGTTGCCAGAGATGTGGTGGAGGAAAGAGACAAATAGATAAAAGCAGGGGGTTTTTAGGGCAGCAGAACTCTTCTGATACTATACGGTGGATACATAACATTATGCCATTGTCAAAACCCATAGAACTGTCCAAGGCTGCAGAGTGAACCTTAATATAAACAGTGGACTTTAGTTAATAATGATGTATCCATATTGGTTCATCGATTTTAACAAATGGATGAACAAACTACATTAATGCAACATGGTAATAACAAGGAAAGGTATACAGATGGGGGAGGGGTAATATGGAAATTCTGTTTGTAATTTTTTTGTAAATATAAAATTGTTATGAAAAATTAAGTCTATTTTCTTAAAGTCAGCCTAGGGATCCTCGTTTTTAGAATCCAATCTGGCATTTTTCTAAGTAAAATTTCTCTGTTTCCAGCATTTAAGTCTCACTTTTCTGTGCAAGATTTTCTTAAGTTTTCTATTTCCTAGGTCATTTCTGTCAGAATTAGGGGTGGGGTAGTGAGAATTCAGACATATGTCCTCGGGGTGCCATCTGTTCTCCGAATGGTGTCCCATATGTTGTTGACGTGTAGAGTTTTCATTGTTGACATTTATGAATTCACTATAATTGTACTTTGATTTCCTTCTTGACTCGAGTTAATTATGAGGGTGTTTAAATTTCCAAGTGGTATTTTTTTAAAAACATGTTACTAATTTCTGCTTCATTGCTCATTGTTTTAAATATGTGATTTGCGTAAGCCCTGCATTTTAGAGCTATTGAGAGGGTTTTTTCTTAGTAGTTTAGTATATCACAAATTTTTGAAATGTCTGGATATTTTATAGCAACATATATGATTCTTACGTTATAAAGTCTATTTTTTCTACCTATATATTTTTATTCTTCTGCAAATCTTTGAACATTTTCATTGCATATTTAGTGTTACATTACTTGTTACACATAAGTTTGTGAATGTTCTATTGCCATCATGTATTGTATCTTTTATCAATATAAATACTCTTTTATCACATGAAATGTGGTTTGCTTTGAATTTAATTTGTCTAATAGCAGTGTGGTCGTGAATGCCTTCTTTAATTTTTATTTGCTTGATATACCTTTGGCCATTCCTCTGTTTTCACATTTAGATGTCTAAGTGATGTGGTTTTTACATTTTTCTCTTTTAAACAGCATATTTTTTAGTGACGTTTTAAAGTCATAGTTATTTTCTTAGTGAAAGAGCTTAAGTCATTCACATGTATTGTGACAGATAGTGTTGGGGTCTGCTGTTACTTCAGTTACCTCATTTTAGTTTTTCTATGTTAAGGGTTTGTTTGTTTGCTATTTACTTGTTTTTTTATTATTTTTATTTGATTATCAATTATTGTAGGCTTAAAAAAGCCCCCCCACCCCCCATCACAAAATTCATATTCTAATCCCTGGAAGCTGTGATGTTACCTTACATAAGAAAAGGGAACTTTGCAAATGTGATTAGGTTAGTGATCTTAAAACAGGGAGATTGTCCTGGTTTATCCCACTGAGTCCCAAGTGCAATCACAACAGGGAGGTAGACGGGGATGTGACACACGGAGGAGGAAAAGGCAGAGCTCGGGCTGATTTGACCACATGCCAAAGACTGCTGGCAGTCACCTGAAGCCAGAAGAGGCAAGGGACAGATTCTCCCTAGAGTCTCCAGAGTCTCTGGAGGAATCATGGCCTTGCCAGACTTGCATTTTTGCCCAGTAGAACTGATTTTGGGCTTCTGGTCTCCAGAGCTGTGCCAGATTATATTTATGTTGTTTTAAGCCACCAAGGTTGTAGTTAATTTGTTATAGCCACCATAGGAAACTAATCAAAATTTCTCCATTTTTATTTTACTCTATCATAGCTTATCTTAACCTTTTAGCTTTAATATATCCCTATAAAGGTATAAAACAAAAGGGATACCCAAAATACATAACAAAATTGAACATAATGTCTTGCTTTTTACTCTGCCCCTTCATTCAACTCCCTAAAGTTTTCCCTGAAATGTTTCGTAATCACATTTATAATTATTTTGTGAGCATTTCCTGTTTCTAACTTCATTTCTTACCATAGTTGTTATTTTTCTATCCTCTTTCCTCTTGCTGAATGTTTAATTTTGATTCAATTCTCAATTAGCCAAAGTATGCCAGGAAGAGTATATGATGTTATATTTTCTTCTTTCTTATATATCTGAGAAGATTGTTCTGTGCCTTGGCACAAAAATGATATTTACAAAGATCTCATGTAAGAATTCTTTTTCAAAACTCTGAACATGTTGTTATACTGTTTTCTGGCATTTATTCTTGTGGAAAAAAAGCATGATAATTTAAGATGCATTTATTTTAGGTAACCTTTAATTTTTTTTACCCTGCCTAAATGCCTGAAGATGGTTAATCTCTGAAATTAAATACTCCTTTGGATTGTATCTCAATGTCGGTATCTTTTTATCAACATTGACTGCTCTTCTGGACACTCGTGTTTGTGACTCTTCCTCCTGCTCCAGATTCGGGACTGTGCCTGTCTCCTCCCTCAAGACAGCTGCAGAGGCCCAAGATGCTTGTGACCTTCTCACCACGGTGTTCTGCCGCACACGTTCCACCGCCGCATGGCTTCCTTTTCATCCTTCTCCTCCCCTCTCTGTAGCAGCCTCAACAGTTCTAAATGCATGGACCACATGTAGAAACCCCAGTTTTGTCTAAGTAGACAATTGTTTGAGTTTTGTTTCCTTAAACTTAGTCATCCATTTTCTCTTTCTCTATTTATCGCCTTTTTCCCAGGAGGACAGTTTTATCCTGTAGTTTTCAGGGGAGACTTCCACTTCTTTTTTTAACCTTTTTTTCTGACTTTTACTTTAAGTCCAGGGTAATGAGCAGGTGTGTTATACAGGCAAACTTGTGTCATGGGGGTTTGTTGTACAAATTATTTCACCACCCGGGTAAGAAGCTTCGTACCCGTTAGTTTTTCATGATCCTCTCCTTCCTCCCACCCTCCATCCTCCTGTAGACCCCAGTGAGTGTTGTTCCCCTCTGTGAGTCCATGTGTTCTCATCATTTAGCTTCCACTTATCTGCAAAAACATGCGGCATTTCATTTTTTATTTCTGTGTTAGTTTGCTGAAGATAATTTCCTTCATCCATGTCCATCCATGTCCCTGGGAATGACATGATCTCATTCGCCTTCAATTTCTAATCATTCCTCAGAACCTCCTCCCTCTGGTGTCTTTCAAAACATTCGTGCTGAGCTGCATTTGTGGAAATAATAAAGAACAACAATGTACTTGATTGTTATTTGTCCGATCCAGAGAAAGAACAAAAAGGCATGAATTCAGAACAAAGGTAATTGCCAAGAAGAAAGTGAAATAAATACTCACCGTTAGACTTCAGTATACAAGTTACTCTCCTACCCCATGTGGATTTGATCCTAATGTTACAAAGCAGAAATACAGCTGGACTCTTGGTAAAAATAAGGCTCCAAGTTATCTGAAAAAAATTTCACCTTGATCATCCATTCAAATATATTTCATTTAATTACATTCTAAATATGGTCTTCACATAAGATAAATTAACTTCTTAAATCCCAATTTCCTTTTCTGCTTAGTATGCCAAAAAAAAAGATGTACACAGATAATTAAGAGGTGTGGGTACAGTTAATAAAAGAGAGAGTGTAAAGGAAGAGGAGACACAGAGCCTCAGCCTAATGAAGAGGATGAAAAGGGGGTGCTCTCAGATGGTGTCGGTGCTAATGATGATAAATTATTCAACATCACACATAGGTTCCCTAAAACGGGAATCCTTCTGTCATCTCTTGACTCCTGCTGATAAAAGGCAAATGAACTTTTTTTTCTAATTATTCTGGAATGTCAATTGTGGCTGGGAAAATTAGTTTAGCTTTGAAAGTCAATTACAAACAATGTACCATGCAAATGTCAAGAAGGACTGAACCTGAAATATAGAGTTTCCAAGAGGCCAAGGGACTGAGTGAGCAAGAAAGAACTGGAAGCATTTTCACTCATCATGGCCAACAGTGCAAATTCTAGCACCAGGTACCAAAATCTGCTTCCTGGTGTGGAGAAGAAACAGGAGAGTTCCCTGGCCCATCCATCACAGGATGTGGGACAGGGGTATAGCTCTCTGTCTGGCTGCTTCAAGCTCAAAACCCCTACAGGAGGGGGATCACACAGAAGGGCAGGTGCAGGAGCCAGGACAAATGCTTTGGCTCCATAGTAGTGTCTGGACTGGGTACCTGTGACTCTTATAGCCCCTGTATTACAGTGCCGTTTTAGCTCTGCCATCTGCAGATGGCTTAAGCATTAACCAGCTCAGTGCTCTCTTGGTCCATAGTCCAACAAGAATCAGGTCACACATGGACTTGAAGGATGAATGCAGGAGTTTTATTGAGTGAGGTAATTCTCAGTGATGGGGAGTTCGAAGGGGGATGGAGAGGGAAGACGATCTTCCTCTGGAATTTGGCCATCCATCGGCCAATCTCCTCTCTGGTGGTCCCACGCTGAACTCCTCTTGGCATTCAGACTCTCCTTCTTTTCTCTCCTTCTCTGCCACATCATTCTGCCACTCATCTGCTCATTTCCTCCTGGAGCCTGGGGTTTGGTGTTTATATGGGTACAGGATAGGGGCATGTGGCAGGCCAAAAGGTAACATTTTGGACACGAAAACAGGAATGCCTGTTCTCATTTAGGGCCACTGGTTTCCAGGCTTGAAGGTAGGGTCTTTGCTGGAGAACCGCCCTCTCAGTATTTCCCTGTCTCTTGTTTATATCAGAGATTCATTTATTTCCCTCCCTAACCCAACCCTCACCCCTTCTTTGGATCACTTCTCAGGTTTGTAAATAACACAAGGTGCTATTCCTTCCATTCTGTGCATTCCCTCACCTCTCTGGAGTGATGCGCCTCTTCTCATTTCTCTCTTTAGGTTGTGCTGCTCTATGCCTCTACCTACGTCCTGGTGTCCCTCAGCATAGACAGGTACCATGCCATCGTCTACCCCATGAAGTTCCTTCAAGGAGGTGAGCTGGCTTGACCAGGTGCTGTTTCATAAAGAATCATCCTTGAGTGAGGGGAGGATCATTTTCACTAATGTGTAACTCTTAATAGTAGTGATCTTCCTCCTCTTTCCTTCTCTTCCTTTTCTTCTACCTCTTTCCTCACTTCATGGGTCTGATTGTCCAAAAAGATGTACAAAAGAAAACTTAGATGCCTGGGAAAATGCTGATGGTTCCCATGGACAGCCCAGAGCCATTAAGGAAGGTAGGTGGCTGACCCACTTCGTGACCATTCACCTTGAAGCTGATGCTTCCATCTTTTTCCTCTAGAGCAGTGTTGACATGCATACCTGTCCAAAGAAATGAACTCGCCCATACTAGCTTCTCATTTTCCAGAAACAAATATCTTGTCCTCCTTATCCAAAACCATAGAAAGAATCAGAAAGATATTTTTAATTGATAATCGTATTGCGGTGGGGGGAAAGGAAACTCTCCTTGATCCAGAAATGGTGAGGGGTCCCTAAGAAAAGGAAGCAGATTGGCTGGAGGGAAGGCTGAGACCACACAGCCCACACTACCCCGAGATGATGCTCAGGTGGGATGGGAGAATTCTCCAGAGCATTTCCTAAACAGGCTGCATAAACGCGGAGTGCAGGAGAGGACCCAAGGCAACTGACAGGCTGATTCCTGAAGTACAACACGGAGGATTAATCAGAGCAAGTTTCCCTGGGTTTGAAGATGCAGAGCGGGGCCCTGGGGAGGACCAGTACATATTCACAAGCCCAGCTGCCCACTGCTCTGCCCACGGTCGGAGCCCGCTCTCCTCCATATACCCTGAAGGCAACTAAGAAGCCAGTGTTTACCAGCCCGCACTTCCCTTCCTCCAGATAACTTTGAAAAATGATAAAGAACCTAACAATCTTGACCGCAAAAATGAGGTGCAATCAAACATTTAAAAAGCAACAAAATCCAAACTGTAGAAAACAGATAACAACCTTAAAATATCACTCCTCAGAATTTGCATCTGGGGAAGCAAATTTAATAGAATTCTAAGACAAGTATAGTTAACATCAAGGACCTGAAAGCAGTGGGGTGAAGAATGGTAATTTCCTGCATTATTGACAGGGGTATAAGCAAACACATCTACTGAAACATCAGATATGAAGCACTTTGACATGACTTCTTGGTATCTGCTCTGGAGAAACACATGTTTACATACGTGATGGTGGCATTGCCTAGAGTAGCAGGAATTCATTGCTACCTTCGGTGTCTCTCAGTGGAGGAATGATTAACCGGTCTACGGAAGGAGTTTCGGTAGCTTATGTTTACTGATCGCACCCTAGGTGTCATTCATGATTCTAAGTGATTTACACCTGTTAAATATTTTAATATTCATACCATCTCTTTGAGGTAGGTTCTATTATTATCGGCATTTTACAGTTAGTTGCTGTTCCAAGAGTGAAAGTAATTTGCCCAAGGTCGCAGCTAGTAAGTGCAGGAGCAGGATTTGAACCCATACAGTCTGGGTCTAGCTCTGGCGCCCTCAAATACTATATAGCCGCCTCTCAGTGTGGAGGTGGTAGAGCCATGGGAAGTCATACGCGTCAACATGAACGTATCCACATTATGTGCTGAGTGGCAAAAACCCGTGCAGAATGATACAAGTAAAGTTAAAAACTCAAAACAAATGCTAGATACCGTGTACAGAAAGATAGAGAGGAGCAGAAAGAGGGAACGCACAAAAGAGCGCTCTAGGGAAAGAGAACAATAATCTGCAGAAGCACACACTCACGTGACATTTGACCTCACTTGTAGGGATGGGAGTTAGGCTAGTGGCAGTGGCCACCACAGGAACTTATATGCAAGGCAGTAATTTTTACATGAAGAACATATTAATGTGTTGTGTGCAATTAAAATTGAGTTATTTTGATCCTGCTAAATAAGTACCAGAGGTCTACTGCACAGCGTGAGACATATGAGTAACAACACTCAATAGCAGTCTTAAGAATTTGCTAACGGCAGGGCATAGTGGCTCATGCCTGTAATGTCAGCTCTTTGGGAGGCCGACACAGGTGGATCACAAGGTCAGGAGTTCGAGACCAGCCTGGCCAAGATGTTGAAACCCTTTCTCTACTAAAAATACAAAAATAAGCTGGGCATGGCCACACGCGCCTGTAATCCCAGCTACTCAGGGGGCTGAGGCAGGAGAATCTCTTGAACCTGGGAGGTGGAGGTTGCAGTGAGCCGAGATCGCGCCATTGCACTCCAGCCTGGGTGACAGAGTGAGACCCTGTCTCAAAAACAAAAAAAGAATTTGCTAATAAGATAAATCTTATGTTAAGTGCTCTTACCACAAAAGGAAAAATCTAAACAAAACAAAACTAAAGGGGGGCAGGAAGAAGCCTTTGGAAGGGATGGACATGTTTATGGCATGGCTTGTCATGATGGTTACATGAGTCTACACGTATTTCCAGACCCAGCAAGTGGTACGCATGGAATATGTACAGCTTTTTATATGCAAATCATGCATCAACAAAGGGGTTTAGAAGTTCACTTAGCAAATTGAATGTATACGTGTTTCCTAGGCTTCTTCTTGGTATTTGACGTGTCTGTTTGGTGAAGGGTTGAGGCTTGTACCAAGTTTTCTGGGCACTGTGCAGCCCTAGTTAATATGACAGGGGAGGCAGGGAATGGACGAGGCAGGAGAGGCAGGAAGGACGTTTCATGACATAGGTGTGCAAAGATATGAAGCATCAAACTCTGTAAAATATTAGTAGAGATTTATTCTGAGCGAAAAATGCGTGACCGTGGCCCATGACAAAGCCCTCAGTGCAGTCATAAGAACACGAGCCCAAGGTGGTCAGTGCACAGCTTGGTTTTATACGTGTTAGGGAGACATGAGACTTCAATCAAACTCACATAAGAAACACATAGGGTTGGCCCAAAATGGCAGGTTGGGTAGGGTGGGGTGGGGTGGGTGAGGCTTCCAGATTATAGGTAGATTTAATTTTTTTCTGGTTGACATTTGGTTGAGTTTATCTAAAGACCTGGGATCGACAGAAAGAAATGTCTGAGTCAAGATAAAGGATTGTGGAGACCATATTTCTTATTTGCAGAGGAAACTTGCAGGCTGTAGGCTTCCAGTGTGAGAGACTAGGTTGTAAATGTTTCTCATCAGACTTAAAAGTCTGTGTTGCTGTTAATGTTGAAGGGATATAATGAGACATGCCCGACCCCCACTTCCCAGCATGGCCTGGAACAGCCTCTCAGGTTACGTTTTAAAAGAGCCTTGGCTGAGGAGGAAATTCATTCAGATGGTTGGAGGGCCTTCTAACTTTATTTTTGGTTTATATTGGTGCATTTGCGATTTGCTTTTTTTTCTTTTAAGACAGAGTCTTGCTTTGTCAACCTGGCTGAAGTGCAGTGGCGCCATCTTGGCTCACTGAAACTTCTGCCTCCCGGGTTCAAGTGATTTCTTGTGCCTCAGCCTCCTGAGTAGCTGGGATTACAGGCGTGCACCTGTAATTAACAATGCCTGGCTAATTTTTGTATTTTTTTTTTTTTGAGACGGAGTTTCGCTCTTGTCACCCAGGCTGGAGTGCAATGGCGCGATCTTGGCTCACCGCAACCTCCGCCTCCTGGGTTCAGGCAGTTCTCCTGCCTCAGCCTCCTGAGTAGCTGGGATTACAGGCACGCGCCACCATGCCCAGCTAATTTTTTTGTATTTTTAGTAGAAACGGGGTTTCACCATGTTGGCCAGGCTGGGTTAAAACTCCTCCGCTCAAGCAATCCACCTTGGCCTTCCAAAGTGCTGGGGTTACAGGCATGAAATCCTGCGCCTGGCCGGTGATACACTTATTTGCCCATCTATTTGTTTATGCCCAGCAGACTTCAGAAAGGATTTAAAGTGGTGGACAAAAGAACATCGACACCTAAGACTTTTAAGGTGAAGAAACGGAAGTGAAGGAAAAATAAATATAGGCAATTGCATGAGGGAAGTCCCAGGAAACTTGCCAGAGGGGAGGACTTGAGGCCCATAGCCAAGAGGGTGGCATGATGGATTACGTTTCACCAAATTCACTGGGTTAAAAAATTAACTGTTTGCTCATAGAAAACATGTCTAGTTCTGGGAGACACTGTGTAATGTCATGAAGAGTGTCCTAAATTATCAGAAGGAAGCAATTAATACTAGAGTGCTTTTCTAAAGATGTAAAACAACTTATTTCCTCACTACAAAATTAAGAGAGGCTCAACATAGGGTGCTTGGAAAATCCTCATCATCCATGGCTTCTGGGCAAGATGAAAGCTTGGAGACATTAGCCAGCTCCCTTCCTCTGGGCAGTCCCAACCAAGTCACTGAAGAAATGTAAAAACAGGGGAAGGCCGGGCGCGGTGGCTCAAGTCTATATTCCCAGCACTTTGGGAGGCCGAGGCAGGTGGAACACGAGGTCCAGAGATCGAGACCATCCTGGTCAACTTGGTGAAACCCCGTCTCTACTAAAAATACAAAAATTAGCTGGGCATGGTGGCGCAGCCTATAGTCCCAGCTACTGGGGAGGCTGAGATAGGAGAATTGCTTGAACCCAGGAGGCGGAGGTTGCGGTGAGCTGAGATAGGGCCATTGCACTCCAGCCTGGGTGACAAGAGCGAAACTCCATCTCAAAAATAAAATAATAAAATAAAACAAAACAAAACAGAGGAGACCTGCATCTGGAATGAGAGCCAAGGAAAGAAGCCATCCAAATACCAGAAACTTCAAAGGATTCCCAGCACAGGAGGGAGCAGATAAGTGTCAACGTGTAATTCAGCCCCTGGGAACACTCCCTGGCCTTGCAGAGGATGAACTGATCCTCACAAGTTTATAGGGTGAGGGCAGCCGGTGAGAACGGGGCACGAGAGGTTTCAGGAAACAAAGAGGGAGTCATGTTAGTGCTGCAGCTTGTCAGAATTTAAGGGCAGCTGTGAGAGGCAGGGTTCGGGGTTTATGTGCCTCAGCCAAGAGAAAGCCGTAGAAAGAGGAGATT